CCCATCCTTGCGCCACCAACGCTCAAAAGGAGGGGGGGCCCGCAAATACAGCGGGACCCACGCTCTATTAGAGAGTTGGTGCCCAAAATTGGTGCCTCTAGCATTTTCCTTTGCAATAAAGCCGTTGTCACTCCCTAGGATAGATGGGTGGAGGAGGACGGGTGGGGCTGTGGGCTGGGTTTTTATTATTTTAATTTTTAAAATTTTATTTATTTATTTAGTTTTATGTATTTGACTTTTATTTTAGTCAAAATTACAAATTTACCTTTATTATAAATGGAAAATTGGATGAAATTTGAAAAACTTAATGATAAGAGCCAAATTGACTATTTGGATAGGTTTGCTAAATTTACTGATTTTTTTAGTTCGGTGGGTTCAGTTGAATGGGGTCGAGTTGAGGAGTATTTCAGCAATTTGCCCTTTTACGCATAATTTCCAGGCTTCCCACTTTCAGAGAGAGAATTAGAATTAGGGTTTGCACTTGCAGTGATAAGCAACTCCATGGCACTGTTGCCATTTAATCACCCTTCTTGCACTCTTCCCTCACCACCACCACAATCTTCTTCTTCTTCTTCTCCTTCTTGTCTTATTAGATATAATTTGCCCTCCAGTTCTCCAGTATTTACAAGTTCTGCCCTCCTCCGCCCTCTCCGTTGGTGCTCAAACCACCACCAGCACAACCACCAGCTCCGGTCTCTGACGCCGGTGAAGGTGACGGGCAGCCTCTCCTCCGCCGTGGAAACTTCAGGTTCAGGCAATAGCAGTCAAGTTGAGGAAGGAGAGAAGAAGCTGCTACTCCAAGTCAAGGATTTAACGGCGGTGATTGCCGAATCGAAACAGGAGATTCTCAAGGGCGTTAACCTCACCGTCTACCAAGGAGAGGTTCATGCCATAATGGGAAAGAATGGTTCAGGGAAGAGCACTTTTGCCAAGGTACCTATTAGCCCTGCCTTGTCTTTGTCTTGTTTGGAATTAATTCGGAACAATTAATCAACTAATTCATATAAAAGATAAAATTAAGAAAATGAAAATGTGCATCCTTACATTCATTTATTGATTCATTAGTTCAGGTTCTGGCTGGGCATCCGGAATACGAAGTTACAGGAGGCAGTGTGGTGTTTAAAGGGGAAAACTTGCTGGAAATGGCAGCGGAAGACCGGTCGCTTTCTGGGCTTTTTATGAGTTTCCAGTCTCCAGTTGAGATCCCTGGTGTCACCAACATTGATTTTCTCAACATGGCTTACAATGCCCGCAGAAAAAAATTAGGACTGCCTGAGACCAATTGAGGTAGCTAAAACATTCACTGTTTTCAAACCAGCTGACTCTGGTGGTTTAATGCTTCTTTCATATTTTTATTTATGTCATTGTAGTTCTAATGCTTATTTCTTTCCCAAACTTGATCTTGTTTATGTTCATTCATGTCTTTGTTTATCCTCATTGCAGTTCTATGCTTATATCTTTCCCAAACTTGATCTTGTGAACATGAAGACTGACTTCCTCAATAGAAATGTTAATGAAGGCTTTAGTGGAGGTGAAAAGAAGCGCAATGAGATTTTACAACTGGCGGTATGGCTATCATTCGTAGTTAATCTTCTTGCTTACGTGATTTTGATAAAACAAAACTTTATTCTTAAGAAAATGTCTAGTGTGTGTTGCATATATAGTGCAGTTATGATATTTGTATTTCTTGGAAAATATAGTAGTAAGATTTTAATAGGTTGTCATCCCTTCACATTTCTTTAAGCTGTACTTTCTTCATTGCATGTCTTTTCCGTATTCATATGCGTCGTCTTAATGCAGGTTTTGGGGGCAGAATTGGCTATATTAGATGAAACATATCGAATACTTTTCTTTTGCAGTTACAAAAATATATTGGAATTTACAGGAGAGCAGTTATAACTAAATAAGAGCTATGCATCATGTAATCTATCACCATATAACACCTTGAAAGGGTACCCATTGAAGTTTCTAAACTTTACACTTCAGTTCAAAATATTACAGTTTACTCTTTTTCCACATCAGTTTCTACAGGAGCTCCAATATTGAAATCCGATTCAGAACTGAACACTGAATCCAAGACGTACAGAGATCGAGCTTGAAACAATGGATATTTAAATAAATCAATAAAAATAGTTAACGATATCAATTTTTCTGAATTTGAACGAAAATAATGTGCCGTATAAATCAAGAATAGAAGACAATGAGGCCTCAAACCACATGAATGCAGTAGGGAACATGATTCTAAACTATAAGAAAACTCATAATCAACATTGGGTGTTAGAGCTTTAGAGAATCGCACCTTGGGACTGTCACTGAGCATTCAACTTTGAAGTAATAGGGCTCGAGCAATAGTCTTCTAGCGAACAAGGAGCTGAGCTCTTGAATGGTCCAGTGAGAGAGAATCCTAAAATTGTGAGAGAGGAAGAGGGAGAGCGAAAGCGAGAGAGAAGTGATGTGGGGTTCCGTAAAAAAGAAAAAATAATAATAATCAGGGCGTACTCAGCTGCACGCTGTAATAGATAAAAAAAAAAAAAAAAAATTTAGACTTCACAGCGTATATCCAAACACGCCTTTAAAAGACACAAAAATTACCTTTTTAAGGGGTGCTTTCACATGTCATAAATATCAGTTATTAACAGCACGCTTTATTATCTTTTTAAGGCGTGCTTTGCCATATACCGTAAGTACCAGATAGTAACAACATGCACAAAAAAACGTGTCGTAAAAGCTTCAATTTGTTTAAGTTTTTCCAGTACAAGAATAAACCATAGATGCTGAAAATTTTATATATCGTTCAAATTCTTGATTTATACGGCACATTTGATTTGGAATTCGCTTGATTACTGCTGTTGTATTGTTGTTGTATTGTCATTGTAGTGAAGTTGTATTGCTAGTTTATTACGGTTTTATTCCCGTTCCTTTGTGATTTTAATGGTTTTGGCGATTTATGCAATTGGATTCTGTGTTTCTTTGTTGTTTTCTTTCATCCAAAGAAGGGAAATTGTAGGTGTTCATTTATAGTCTCTACATTAGCCACATAAATCTTTATAGTTTGTTTTGCAGTTGTAGTAGCTTTTTGATGTCTATAGTTTGTACATAAATGGCCATTTATTCTGCTATATAGACAGAGTCCATATTTTTCTTTTGATGTTCCATTTGTATTGTATTTCATTTGTTCTCTTTTTATGACATACATGTATATCAATATGGTGATGAGTAGATTTTAGGAAGCATTGATGCAGTTGGGCTAGTTCGTTTGGCTTTTTCTCTTAAACTGTGTATGAAGTTGATACTTGGGTCATCAAATCACTTTGACAGTTGGGTGGTGTTTGGTTTGTGGATGAAATGTGATCCAGATTTTGTAAAATGGAGTGTAGATAAGAGTGGAGCATGGAGAGAGTTTAAGAGTAGATAAGAAACTGAACTTGGGTAAAAAGTGCAATTGGTATTATTTCACATTTCGAGGGATTAACAGTGTTTGGTTTATTGGATTAAACTTTGGAATGATAGTAATGTAAGTGATGTATCAAATGGGATTTGTGGCATTTTTTTAACAAGCCTTGTGGAGAGAAAATATAACAGAAGGAAATGGGAAAAATATCAAAGCAAGCCTTGTGGAGAGAAAATATAAGTCTTGAAGGTACAAGGAATTCATATTTTTTCTATCACGGGACATATTGGTGAACATACATGTATTGCATATCAGGTTATATTGCCCCTCTATTGTACTCATATTTTTTCTATCATGGGACATATTGGTGAACATACATGTATTGCATATCAGGTTCTATTGCCCCTCTATTGTACTTTTATTACTGATATATCTCGTGCCTATTGCCTTGATTTGCCTCTGTATTGTGTGTTTATTGCTTTGTTATTGTCTATATTTCAACGGCTTGAAATTATTTGTATAATATTGGTGTACAGGGAAATATGGTTTCTAAAGTAAAGCCGATGACTAATGAGGATCAAAAGTTTCAGAGCAAGGCGTTGTCCCTTTCCCATACAAAGACTGCCATTAGTACAATTAAGGAGAAATTGAGTCTGCAACAGTTACAAAGGTTCCAAGACAGTTGTTTTGATCATATATTATTGATTGAGGACCTTAAGTGGATTGCACAAATTGTCCCCAAGTTGTTGTTAAGGAAGGCTGATCCGAAGACAGTTTCCCAGGTGAACGGGATAAAATTCATTATTGGTAGTAAGATGATACAATTCACGGCGTAGCAGTTTTGCACCATCACGGGGCTAAGGTTCGGAAACCTTCCTTTCATTCTGATTGCGACTAACGAAAACTACTTATTGAAAAAGAAATATGTCTGCAACAATAAAACTGTGACCCTTTCCAAACTAGAAAAAGCCTTCATCGACTGCGCGGATGAGGAGGATGTCGTGAAGCTTGGATTTCTATATTTTGTTGTTTTTGTGCTGTTGGGTAGTGAAAAACATGTCAACATTGACATGCGGTATTTGAAATTGTTGGAAGACCTTGAAGAGTTTCAGAAGTATCCATATGTCGCTGTTTCATATGCAAAGACAAATGCCTCACTTTTGAGGGCACTTTTTGCAGATTCCCATCGAGTAAAAGTTTCCCCAAAAAACTATAAAAACAAAAGAATCTGAAAAGAAATCAAAGACAACAGCAAGTAGTAGGCCAAGAGAGTACCGCATAAAAGGTTTTGGCTTTGCACTTTAGCTGAGCAAATATCCATATATGTATAAGTTCAATTTAATTTGTTTATAGTGACTGATGTTTTATTGTTCAAAATGGATTTGGGCTTTTGAGGTGTTTCCAGCATTGGCTGCACTGCATTTTGTGATGCACGAAGGGAATGGCCATATCCCCCATATACTATAATGGAGAGCAATACTTCGGCTCATTTTCACGAGCTAATGAGCCAAGTATTCGAAAACTTTGACATTAGTTTTGTTTGTAATGATTATGTTATGCATATGAAAAAATAATAAGTTTAATGATATGTATTTTTGTATGTGTAAATTGGAGGTTGATGTGCAACTTCTCTGCCGAACTCTAATTGACAAGCAACAACCCTTTTGAAGTTGGGGTGACAATGATGAAAACATTGAAGAAATTGTTGAATTGTTTGTCGATGAGGCCCAAGAAAAATACTAGCACTTCTGTTGAAGAAAAAGATGACGAAGTTGAGGAAACAACTACCCTTTCCTCGTCTTCTAAGGTGTAAGACCACAATCAAGACATACACACAATCCCATAATCATAAGAAATCTCATCATATGGATGTTGTACAATACTGGGAAAAGTAATGCATCTTCAATATAAAAGTCCACCCACCAAAACTATTCATTAGTTGACCTCAACCCAAAATTTAGATTCAAACCCTAGTTACAGGAAACTTAACGGGTGCACACAAGTTTAGAAAGGTCTTGGAGCCATTCTAGTACCTTCCCGAAGGATGAGACAGTCTCCAAAGACCCGGGGTCAACAGTTGGTCAAACTTCCCCTTTTTGGTCAACCAGGCCCATGACCTCAAATTTTCGATCCGAACTTTCCTAAAGGTCCCACAAGGTCTACACAACAAGTCCTGAGGGTTTGGTCTCGATCAAGCTGTCGGATCACTGTCGATTGCGTGGTCGGATGGTAACAGGTTTACTTAACCCTAAATTTAATAATTCAAGGTATATGGGACTCTGATTCTAGATCCGTGAGTTCCTACACAATCCTAAAGGTACAAAGGACAACATATTTGGAAATGGAGCCAATCCAACTGTTCAAACATATCGAACTCGGATATCGCCTAATATGCGTAAATCCGTTCGATCGTCAAACGATAGCCAAATTCAAATCTGAGCATACCATCGTTCTCGAGACGACATGGGGAACATTTTAGAACCAAATGGGCCACCCAACCTTGACCCATATGCAGCCGGTGTCTTGAGAAAATTTTGGCAACCTAAAACTTCTTAAAACACCGACAATGCCTATACCTACATGATCACGGCCAATAAGTGGCCGGAGCTTGCCGAAAAATTAAGCCAAAAATGAGTCAAAACTTAGATCATAAATCGAGCTTCAAAACTACAAAATCAATCCTAAACAACCCAACCATCAGCTAGATCATGTTGAATAGATGAAGAAACATACTTGGATCACCAAATTCCATTGCCGGAGTGGTTGGAAACAACGCCAAAAAATTTCAAAGAAAACTGAACGGTTTTTGAACTACCGCCGGCTCCAAGGCTGCTGATTTCGTCGGAGAAGGAGTGTGATGCGAAGAGGGAGTGGAACCGGTTCTTTTGGGACCGATATGTGGCCTGAGATGACCGGATGGAGGAGCTGCCTGCCAAACAATGGTCGATTATGCTAGTTTCACGAGGAGAGAGAGAGAGAGAGAGAGAGGCTGATTGGTTTTTAAAATTTGACTTTGAAATATTTACGGTTGTACCACAGCACTTCCGTTGATTGTAACTTCTTCGTTAAAACTCCGATTTAGGTACACTACGTGTCTACGAACTCATATCGATTTCGTTAAAACCTAAATATCCTTATGGATCAAAAAGTGACTATAGTGACCTTACTCCAAGGGAAAATTTGTAATTTCACAAATAAATAAATTAAATAGATTAAATAAGCGGTTAAAATTTGGGTTGAGGTATCACAATATACCGCCCTTATAAAAATTTCATCCTTGAAATTTCGTACCTGCCATTCAAAAAGGTATGGGTACTGGGCCCGCATCTACTCCTTGGGTTCCCAAGTAGCTTCCTCAACGGCTTGACATGACGGGGACTTAACTTCTCCCCCGAACCTCATCACACCTTCCAACGAGATAATTCCAAAAATACCCACTCACCAACTACAACTCAATACACTTGGACTAATTATCTGCATAACATTTCTATCGGTATTGTATCATTTTAGACTTTGCCAATGTCATCCTTTATATGATTAGGCGAAAGCTCATTGGGTCTAGTACTCGCAACTTTTGGAGTTGATGATGAAGCTTCGATCCAAGGTTCACTCGGTTTGAAACATCCCAAAAGCTGGCCTTTAAAACATGAATATCACCAAAATGCAAACTTGGATGCCGATACACTGGTACCTCTCCCGACATTTGTCCACTGTCAAGAATAACGCAAACTTCATCTCTTTCCATATGTTGGATTAGTTGTCCCCATCAACATATAATGCTGGGGACTACGAATTTTGCCTTTTCTAAGAATGTTATTTTCCTATTTCTTTAGAATTGACAAACGATATTGTAAATATGATTCTTCGAGAGGAATACCGGAAAGGATCATTTTTACCAAATTGTAATCATCATCCATCTCACCATGATTATAGGCAACTTTGAAAGTTGCACACCATACTGCAAAAAACACCATGAGTATCTTCCAGATCTTTCATAAATAACTCCTTGAAGTACTCTTTTGGCACCCCTTCATGACATAGAAGTACAGTTAAATGCCTCGAAGAATATGTATTCCTAAGTGATTTGCTTATTTTAACTATTTCCACACCTGTCAATCGCGACATTAAAGCCCACACGAATAAACACTACTACAAAATAGGCAAAAGATGACGGGAATTCACCGTCGTGTATTCAGTTTTCAAATAGTCGTGAAATCAACTGACATCTTTTACAAAATCAAACGACGACGGTAAATCACCATTGTTGTTAAAACAAATAACGACATTAACAACTAATAACCGATGTCTGTGTATTGAAAAATGAGCTAAAAAAAAGTCAAGGATAAGAATAGACTACCAATTCTAAAATACAAACGTCGTTTAAAAGGCAACATATGACATATTTTAACAAAACATGGCCACAAGAGATACATACAACGACGAGAACTAAAATCCACAGCCGTTAAATATACGTTTCACGACACATACAACTATGACGTCTTTAAATACATAATCGACGACGTTATTGATTCCTACTACGTCACCACAGTTTCTACAACCATCGTAATAAATTTTCCACTTCGATTTTTCCATTAATGATGACGTGGAAATAGATGTTAGGGTCATTACTTACGACGCATGTATTCTACAGACGACGTTGTACTGAATAAACAACGTCGAATCCAAATAAATGAGAGCCGTATTACATAATTTATACGTTATCTTTTAAAATATAATCGTTGTCTAATGCATTTGAAACGACAACGTTTCTCAGTCAACTGCCGTGTAAAACTATTTTAATGACATGATCTGAAAATAAACGACGTGGAAAATATGTTAAGGTCACTTACGACACATTCATTTATACAGAGGACTTTGTCGTAAATATACAACGTCGTTATCATGTAAAAGACAACCGTGTTTCAAAATTTATACTTCATCATTACTAAAATTACAGTCGTCTAATGTCTATTAGATGGCGCAGTTTATACGATATTCGCCATGTAAAGTCATTTTAACGACATGATCATAAGAAAAGAGACGTGGATACATTCATATAACGTTGTTTTTGTAAAGGAACGACGTCCAAATATACCTTTACATCGACAAATTTACCAATGGATTTCAAATACCCTAGTGAATTAATCCTTTTCCACTTCGTTTATGAGAGAACAAACGACGTGGTAAAATTAAGACGACGATTTTTGATTTGATACGGACGAGTTCATAATCTAAGACGTCGTCTTTTGTAACATTCAGTTTAGATATCTCGTCTTTTAGACGTCGGTATTATGGGATTGGAGTCGTGTTATTTGGAATTACATGTCGGCTCTTTATGCTTCTCCGACGTGATATCCTTAATAACTGTTTCACAATAGCGTCGTGGTTCTTCATTGTTACGTTGCTTTAAGACATCGGTAAATATATTGCGGTCGTTGAATGCTTCAAAACATCGTTTTTTATGACAATTTATTAAAACAGACGTATGTTTTTCTCAGTTTTATGAAGACCGTCGTGTTTGTAATCTTGAACCAGTATTTTTGGTACTGATTGTTTTGTGGCCAAAACCTGAATAATGAAAGTGAAGAAATCACATTACAATATATTAATAAATTAATGTCATACATTGCCGTTTAGGGTTCATACACTGCCAATTAAAAGCATCATTCAACCCATATATCTTCACACCCATCTCGAATATTTTGACTCCCTAACTCAACCACCACTTCATCAAATGTGTCAACATTTGGCATCCCCTTAGTAAATGGCTCACACTCAATTCTCACATCACCTAAGACATCATCACCAATAACATCATTATATTCTCTATTAGGCATTGATAACACTACCGACCAACCATGATGCATTGGGTCGTCAACAAAAAATACTTGTTTGACTTGAGAAGCCAAAACAAATTGGTCATTCCTATGTCCAATTTTACTCAAATCTACAAGGGTAAATCCAAGTTCGTCGACTACAAGACCGGAAGTACTATCTATCCAATCACACCTAAAGATTGAGATTGTAAACTTTTGGTAGTCAGGGTCCCAAATTTCTTAAATGACACCATAGAAACCCATATTTGAGAGAATTGAGTTTTTATCCTTGGCACTAGCAACTTGCATAGTATGTGCAAGTAAATAA